ACTCTTTCCAACACAGCCAGGGCATGAGACATAGCAGGCTCAAGGTTTATCTGTCACTTAACTTGGAGGGACTCATCCTGTGCTGGCCATTTCTGCTGGATTTCTCTCTTTCCTCTCCTCCAGGTTATCCGTTCAATGACGTGTGCCAGTGGTTCATCGACAGAGCTGATCTCATCTTTGTGGTCTTTGACCCTACGAAGCTGGACGTGGGCTTGGAGCTGGAGATGCTGTTTCGCCAGCTGAAGGGCCGTGAGTCTCAGATCCGAATAATCTTGAACAAAGCTGACAGCCTGGCTACCCAGGAGCTCATGAGAGTCTACGGTGCCTTATTCTGGAGCCTGGCTCCTCTCATCAATGTCACGGAGCCACCCAGGGTGTACGTTAGCTCCTTCTGGCCCCACGAGTACCATCCAGATACCCACAAAGAGCTGTTCCTCAAAGAAGAGATATCGCTCCTGGAAGATCTCAACCAGGTGATTGAGAACAGGATGGAAAATAAGATCGCCTTCATACGCCAGCATGCCATCCGGGTGCGCATCCACGCCCTTTTGGTCGATCGCTATCTACAGACTTACAAGGACAAAATGACCTTCTTTAGCGATGGAGAACTGGTGTTCAGGGACATTGTGGAAGATCCTGACAAGTTCTTTATTTTTAAGTCCATTCTGGCAAAGACCAATGTCAGCAAATTTGACCTCCCCAACCGTGAGGCTTACAAGGACTTCTTTGGCATCAACCCCATCACCAGTTTTAAGCTGCTGTCTCAGCAGTGTTCCTACATGGGAGGGTGTTTCCTTGAGAAGATTGAGAAGGCCATCACTCGCGAGCTTCCTGATCTCTTGGGTAGCATCGGCTTGGGGAAGAAGCCCAATGTTCTTTCCTGCGACATCACTGGCTGTGGCGAAACCCCAAAGAATCGCTACAGGAAACCCTAAGGTGTTTTGTAAGTAACCGTCCACGTGTTCCTACCAGTGAGTGAGCTGATGTCTTATCCGTCCAAGAAGCCATGGTTGTTAACCCTTGGAGTGCCACACTGGCAAAGGCTACTGTACGATGAGGACTTTGAGTCATTGACATCGATGGCAGGGGAAGATGGGTGGGCATAAGAAAGAGAATAAAAACTGTGAATTCCTGACATTTTATCTTTGTTCTTTTGAGTAGAAGGCAATGTTTAAACTGTAAGTATGAGCAATGCATGGTGAGCTAGAATTGTAGCTGCTTTTTCACTGATGCCAAGAGTGTGTGAACAGAAATTTCAACCTCTGCATCCCCAAAGCCAGCAGGGAGCAAGAACGAGGGCATGGCATGAGAGCACAGGGGAGAGCAGTGACATGGGGCATCACCGGGAGCCTGGAGACAAAGTGCTGGGCAAGGAAAGAGAGGCCAGGTCCCATCTGCTGTTTTCAGGCACAAACATCCTAAAAATTACTGCAAATATTGACCTTGTTTTTCTTTCCGAGACTCTTAGGTCTCCTGGTGAGTTCTCCTTTCACGTAACAGGTGAGTTGAAGTTCTGCAGTCTTCACCTGGGTGTTTGCCTTAAGAAAGGGCTTTTGCAGGGGCATTTCTAGCTGCAGACAGGCAGCTGTGATGGGATTTGCAAGCCTGTGTCAGAGGAAAAAGTGGGCTGGAAAGGAGCTGCACGCACTGGCTGAGCTATGCTGGCGGAGAAGGGCCAGCACCCCAAATCACACAGTCCTGCAAGGAGCTGTAAGCAGGCTTTCCTCCCCTTGAGCCAGCACAGGGACAGGGCACTTGGTGCAGGCTTGTGTCACCAACCTTAAAAACCTGTGCTGGCAAGTCAAGCCTGAGGATCAGCAGGCTCTGAGGGTCAAGGGTTTGGTGGTTTGACCTTGTTCAAGGTCGTGTTGCTGTTTTCTCACTCAGACCTCCCATGTTTTTGCGCTCTGTGGAGGGAGGCAGGAACAGGGGGGGTCACCAGTTGCATCCTTTTGCCCATCTGCTGCTCCATTCTCCCTAGGACAATCCAGGCAGGTCTCTGTAGCTTGTTCACCAAACCATTTTAGCCATTTGTTGGCTCATCTCCACGCATCAGCGCTCAGTCCTGGGAGGAGAAGGAGTGTTGCTTTGGAAGCACCCGAGCAGGGTGAGGTTCCCCACTGACAAATAACCTTGAAATCCGTCAAGGAAAGCCAGGGGATTAGGGATGGCCTCATCACTTGGCCTTCATGCCCCACACGGCTGTCTGTCAAGCTGAGTACACACCAACCAAGAGGTAGATGTTGCTCTGGATGGAGGCTGGCTT